AGCCGATATCGGGTTTGTCCTGATGCAGTTGGGAGGGGTCCCAAAGTTTATGTTATGTGTTATATGTTATGTGTTATATGTTATGTGTGTATGTGGTAGTTTGGGGGAGCTCAGTAAGCTTCGTGCTTACAGTTTTCAGTTTGGTTTCAGGTACTTCAGCTAGCAAAGGGAAGGGCTCGGGATGATCGCATGGCACACACCATAGTGCTCTAGCCTGGGAGACTTACTCCGATATTTGACATGAGTTCTTGATATGTTGACAGATACTACGATATTCGAAATACTTGGTTTATGATTTTATATGATGATGATGATATTTATGGTTTTATAAACATTTTAAAAAGAAATTTTCGGTCTGTATTTTTGGGATGTTTCATGCGATATCGAGATAGATGGCAAGTGAGATGGAGATGTAGCACGATACAGAGAGAGAAATAGGTTAAAGAGACAAACTCGATGAAAATGGCAGTTCCATCCTTCTTCGTCCTTCTCAAATCCAAAAATTGAAACTGATGAAGGTTTCGATTTTGATTTTGAGTTTCAGGTTCGGTTTGATTTTATTTCGATGGATTCGTCTTGGACCTAATTTCGATTGCAGTGAGATGTCGTGAACTCGTGATAGATTGAAATTGGTAGCTTCGATGGTCGTTGGGGAAAGGGAAGGGGAATGTGTTTGCGGTGACAGGTGGTGGTGCCAGATGAGTTGGTGCTCACGCTGATATGTGGTGGCGCCGGAGGAGCTGCAGGTTTTCGGCGACGGTGACTACTCCAACGAGAGCTTGAGGTGTAGACCGATGACCTCATCGGTGGGTTCAGGTCCGCCATCGATTACAAAACCTTGGATTTCCTCAAACCATTCTTCTCCCTGTCTTGATCTCCACACCCACCTCATCTGGTCATTGCATCACAAACAGAGCTTGGTGGGTTGTGATGGTAACCTAGTTACTTCACCGGAAAATCGAACTTACTGAGTGACTGAGTCACCGGATTCTGATGTTATTCTCCTGCACTCGGAAAAGAAAGTAAGAGAAAGAGTAGATGTGGTTGGTCTCGTCGAAAAAAAGAAGAGGAAGAGGAGTTCTTTAAGTGTTTGTCGAGAGTGAATAAGACAAATGGAAGGAAACTGGGGGAAAGGGAAGGGGAAGGGTGGGTCGGTGCATATTTATTATTATTATTTTTTAATCTAAAAATAATAAATAAAAATTAAAAAAGAAATTATTAAGGGCAAAATCGTCTTTTCATGTCCGTAGGGATGATGTGTGTAACTTTTAACCAAACGAGGGATGGTCCGAGTTAATTTTTAAAAATAAGGACTAAAGACGCTTTGTGACATATGCACGAGGGACGATTGGTGTAATTTACCCTTCCCCATTAAACCATCAACTATCGTCGTCGACCTCTTGTTGTTGATCATGTTGTGTATTTCGACATCTCTGAACCCATCCATCATCGTCTTGTTTCTGCTTGAATCTCCCGTCATACTTCTCAGTATGTATCCCATGTGCCAACATCACCAACCCACCCCACCCCGGTGGTTAATTCAAAAGTCAAACATGATTTTTGAAAGTCAAACTATCGTCGTCACTTTAGGGTTATACTAGTTTTGTTGTTGTTTAGCTATACACTTATTAAGTACATATAATTATAAATAAAATGCTATGAAGAATGAAAGATTGAGAAACACCCACAACATTTACAACAAAAGTCAACAAACATTAACTAGAAACAAACATCTAAAACAACTACTCTTATTTTTCAAGCCAACCTTATTATTATCTCTTAAATACAAAATTAATACATATTGTTTTTTACTATTTTAACACTCATAATCACGAGTTTGTAATGCTTTGTTACAATATATACTAGTTTATAACCCGTGAGAACCACGATTATAAATTAATTAAATTTTCATAGTAAAAACTTTAAATTATGAATCAATTATTTTAAATAAATTATTAATTAAGAGATACTTTTTTGGTTATATAAAATTATAACTGTTGATTTAAATAAATAAATGAAATTATATCACCTTATAATACATATTAATTTTATTTTATTTTTTTATTCTAGTGTTATTAATTTAATGTAATTAGTAGGGGTGTTCAAGGTGCGGTTTGGTGCGGTTTAGACTCAAAACCGCAAACCGCACCGCATATGCAGTTTGAGATTATCGGAAACCACAAACCGCACCGCAAAGGTTCTAAATTGCATTATGCGGTGCGGTTTTATGCGAGCGGTTTTGCGGTTTTTGTGCGGTTTATACGGTTTTAAGAACGTAAATACTTAATTTAATTTAAGACTTGTAGAATATTCTCTATAATTATCTTTTGTTTTGTCTTTTACTTTAAGAATTTTGCAAGATTATTTTTTACAACCTTAAAAATCACATTTATAATATAAATCATTGATAAAATAAAAGTTTTTAACTTGGCTTAACAATATAGTATATCTTGATTAACATTTGTTATCATTGATAACATTTGAGAATTTAATTAAAAACTCACGATTGATATTAGGTAATATAAACACAATCAAGCATATGTACTGTTAAGTACTTGACTCATTTGTTTATTATTAGTAAAATTCAGTTAATTTCTATAGTTAAAAACATTGATAAACTAACATTGCTAAGCATATGTACTGTTGTGTGCTTTGACTCGTTTGTTTGTTATTAATAAATATTTATAGTTAAAAACATTGATAAACTAACATTGCTATGTAACGACGTAAATTTTTAAAACAATTTTTTTATTTTTCAAACATAATAAAACTCATATAATATTCTCAAAATCTCATATATCAATGTTATCACCATAAAACATATCCCAGAATCTCAACACTTAATCTTCTGCCAGTGTGTACAAATCATGTCGGCGCCTTCCCGCGACTCTCGCTGGTACCTGAAACACATATCACATAACACGGTAAGCATAAATGCTTAGTGAGTTTCCCAAAATACCACATACAACACATACGCCACTCGAGGCTATAATACGACCCTCCGGTCGATGTGTCTCAGCGGGACCCTCCAGTCCCGTAGCTCGTTGGACCCTCTGGTCCGGTCATAGCTCGTCGGACCCTTCGGTCCAGTTTGTGTCGTTGGACCCTTCGGTCCGGTCTATATTGTTGGGTCCTCCGACCCGGTCTATATCGTTGGGCCCTCCGGCCCGGTCTGTTCAACACATAGCATACATATAACACAATACACATAATCTCATATATACACATAGCATACAAGACCCTCCGGTCTACAAATAAATACCACTCTAGGTAATGTATAGTGAGAATACTCACCTTGGGTAACTCGGATAATCTCGCACACGGATATACGGATCTAGCCCCCGCCTAATCACATAAACAATATCCTCAAATAAATAATGGCTCTCAAAGGCTAGATTAAATCCCTTTCTACAATCCCACAGAAGGGTAAAAGACTATTTTACCCCTCCTTGACCCAAAAGTCCAAATGTTGACTAAAACCCTAAAAGTCAACAAAAGTCAACAGGGGCAAGTACGCGGCGCGTACCGGCTCTTGTACGCGGGGCGGTACTCCGCGATCCAGAATCCGGGGTCTCAAACCCTTACGCGGCGCGTTCTGGGATTACGCCCAGCGTAAGTCCCAGTTTCCTACTTTCTTCATTTTTGGTCTGAAAAGATTAAGACCTAGGCTCATAACTCAAATCTAAGCTCCCTACTGCCCCTTAAGTCATAAAGTCGGAACCTTTAAGCCCTTGCATGGCTGTAAAGGTCACCAATCACTTCAAACATAAATCCTCTTTTCCCATTAAGCCCTAATCTCATGCATGACTTAATCTCAACGTCCAAGATTGGATTTTTATGAACCTACAACACATATTACACTGGAATAGGGCAGATCTAAGCTTATGGAGACCCTTTGCTCATAAAGTCTCCACCTTGGGACCAAAAACCCTAAAAATGGGTCCATAAAGCACAAATCAATGATGACAAGGAAAGCTTTGAGCTTTTTACCTCCAGGTGAAGCTCCAACCTCTATAGAACTCGGATCTAAGCTTGCCCCTCTAACTTCTAGCTTCCACCATGGCCTCCTCTTCTTCTTCACCATCACAAAATGACACTTTCAAGCTTAAGAACACACACATAAGCTTATAACGGGTTTTGCTCTCTTAGGGTTTCACTCTCTATAATATGGTGGCTGGGGTAAGGACCATATCATTCCTTTTATAGTCCTCAAGTCTCATTTAGGGTTTTGCATCTGAGCCAGTTACGCCCAGTGTAACTTTGGTACGCCCAGCGTACCTAATTGAGTCTGCGTCCATAATAAGCGCATGAGTACGCGCAGCGTACTCGTTTGCAACACTTTTCACTTAGGGGCTAAACTTGACAGTTTGGTAAATAGAAAGGGTTCAATAGATGTACTTAAATTTCGGGATGTTACATGCTAAGTATAATTAAAGCTAAAATCATGATATATATATAATATATATATATAATATATATATATATATATATATATATATATATATATATATATATATATATACGGTGCGGTGCGGTGTAGTTTGAACTGCGATTTTGTAACTATAAACCGCAAACCGCACCACATAGTGTAGTTTACAAAAATTACAAACAGCAAACCAAACCGCGGACGTTCAAAACCTCATTATGCGGTGTGGTGTGGTGCGGTGTGAGCGGTTTATTGCACACCCCTAGTAATTAGAGTGTGAAATTTAAAATTTGAAGTTTGAAATGATGAATTAATTATTAATTTAATATAATTAGAGTGATAAATTTAAAATTTAAAATGGATAATTAATAGGTTGACATGTGACATGATAGGTGACATATAGTATTAATGAGGATTTTCAATATTATGATACTTATCATTAAAATGAATAAACTTACTTATTTATTAGAATACGAACGTTTCCATAAATAACAATCCGATTTCTTTGGACCCGACCCGACCCGACCCGACAGTTGGAAGTAAAAGGGCCTTCAAACAATCAAACTTGCCGACACCGAAAATTGTGAAGTCAAACGCGAAAATGTTTTCCATGAAGGGAAAGTTTATGGTTAAGACTTGATCCTACCAAGATCTCCCTTCCCTCAATTATTTAGGGCACACTATTCGGACACTAAAATCTCCTTCAATCTTACTCTTCTTTCTTGCTAATTCGACGCAACAATGTCGAATTTCTCTCGCCAGCTTCGTTTCACCTCGTCCATGATCAGAGGCTTACAGTACAGGATTTCAAGATCTTTCACTACGATTGAAGGCCATCGACCTACCATTATTCATAAGCAAGGTCTCGATATTCTTCATGATCCGTGGTTCAACAAGGTAAAGTTCAAGTAATCAAGTTAACGTTGCTTGTCGTTATGAAGTTCGGATCATGTTTTGCTTGTAATGCGAGTTGAGTTGCCGAGATTGAAGTGTTTTTCAACGCAGTTAGTGATGGATTTTACTGGATTTTAACTTGGAACTTGAAGCTTTGAGTTTAAGTTCCTTATTGGTTACTGTGATAGTTTTGATTAGTTTATACATGAACTGTGATTTTCAGTAAATGTATTGTTAACCGAAGCAATTCTGTTATCAGGGAACAGCATTCTCCATGACTGAACGAGATCGTCTTGAACTACGAGGACTTCTACCTCCAAATGTCATGAGCAATGAACAACAAATTGAACGCTTTAGTAAGTCACTAAAACAGTAAAACTTCCTTTGTTTTACATTATTACTAGATATGTTAAGCCTTCTATTGCATAGTATTTTGGTATGCCTAATTATGATACCAGATAATCAACCACTGAATTACTTTACCATAATCGATTGTACTAGTTCTTTCATGAAGTATAAATCAAAACTATTTTGTTAAAATTAAAGTGGCAGATCTGAAGAGACTTGAGGTGAATGCAAGAGATGGTCCATCAGATACAAATTCATTAGCCAAGTGGCGAATACTTAACAGGCTACATGACAGAAATGAAACAATGTACTATAAGGTGAGTAGTTATTGAGAGCTTAAATATATGCACTTTTTTGCTATTCTTGAAAGTTCTAGAGTCCTTAACAAATGCCATATCTTTGTTATAACTTATGACAGGTTTTAATAGCTAAAATTGAAGAATATGCTCCTGTAGTATACACTCCTACAGTTGGACTTGTTTGCCAGAAATACAGTGGATTGTTTAGAAGGCCAAGAGGGATGTATTTTAGTGCTGCTGATCGTGGAGAGATGATGTCAATGGTTTATAATTGGCCTGCAGATCAGGTTTGTATTACACACAAATACACTTTCTAAGATCATAAATTTCAAGTTTTTATAATTGAAACACTTTTAATTAAACCTTCTCTCTTATTCAAAAATTTAATCAGGTTGATATGATTGTTGTTACGGATGGAAGCAGAATATTGGGACTTGGTGATCTTGGAATCCAGGGGATTGGAATTTCAATAGGGAAGTTGGATTTATATGTTGCTGCAGCTGGAATAAACCCTCAAAGAGTAATTTTCACACTGGATTAATCTCACTACTTTAGTGTTCCTCTGAATATATAATCATTTTTTCTTTTTATCAAACAGGTGCTTCCTATTATGATTGATGTTGGAACCAACAATGAGGCCCTTCTTAAAGACCCTTTGTGTATGATTCTTCCAATACTTTCCCTATTCTATAATCTTCACATATAATTGTAATTATTTTAATATCTTATATTCAAGATAATGATAATAGTTCCATTTTTTTAATAGATTTAGGATTGCAACAACATCGTCTTGATGGTGAAGAGTACATTGCTGTTATTGATGAGTTTATGGAGGCTGTGTTCACACGTTGGCCCCACGTGATAGTGCAGGTAATCTTTTCCATCTGGAAAATGTTTTAAATTGTTTTTCAATAATGATAATGAAAATGGATTCTTGTGGGACAATGAACAAATAAGTAATTTTAAAATCTTGTAATCACCAATTGCAAAATTGATATGTACTTTAATTAAATTTACCAACTGAATTGTACCTTTGATCTTATGCTACAATAACGTAATGTTAGATTAACTTTTAGAGTAAGTTACAAAAATGGTCCCTGTGCTTTTTGATTTTTATCGTATTTAGTCCAAAATCGAAACCTTTTCCAGTTTTGGTCCCTGGAACCTAGAAATAAGGACTAAAATGGATATAAAACCTTAAAATAAAGAGCAAAATCAGAAGTTCTATATACCAAAATTGATATGAAACTTTGAAATAAGGACAGAAATTGAAAAATGTTTCAGTTTTGACCTAAACATGGTAAAAGTTAGAAAGTACAGGGACTATTATGTACTTTACTCCTTTTTTTTTGTCAAATGTTATTGAATTCATCAACTTTCTGATGAAATGTTATAAAAAGATGCTAATCACTAGTAATTATTTATTTATTTATTTATTTATTTTTTAGTTTGAAGATTTTCAAAGCAAATGGGCCTTCAAGTTTACTACAACGATATAGAAATAGCTACAGAATGTTCAATGATGATGTCCAGGTAAACACTCGATACAACTTCATCTTTTTTGTGAAATATATTCTTTAATATAATTATATAAATAAAATGATGAATCTATGTTCTTATTTCTTAGGCCAAATTCCATAATAATCATTGTAGTGTTTTTTTTTTTTTAACCATTGATATAATTTTTTTTTCTGGTTTAACCACTGAGAGTTTTTTTTATTTATTTTTTCGGGTAATGAATTGCAAAAGGCAATTGGAAGAATATTTTTCTGCTTAAAGTCGATTTAAAAAAAATTCAAAGTTTTAATTTTTAAAGCATAAAAAAAAGGGTTATCCTCAAAAAAGACCTTATATTTTTTGTTTTTTCCGGATTAAACCTCAAAATTTTTTTGCCTAAAAAGACCTGTATTTTTTCATTTTTTCCCGATTTGACCCTTTTAGTCATTTTTTTGCCCAAAAAATTGTAAAATGTAAGGGTTTATTTCAAAGCATATACAAGGTTGAGGGTTTTTTTGGAACAAAATACAAAGTTAAGGGCATTTTCGGAAAAAATAAAAAAATACAAGTTCTTTTTCAAGCAAAAAATAAATTTGAGGTTTAATCCAGAAAAAACACAAAAATATTATGTCTTTTTGAGATTAACCCTAAAAAATTCAAATTCCTAACTATATTGGTTTTTATAGACTTCAAAGTTTTATGTACTGTTTTAATGGAAAAAAAATTTATATCAATGGTTAAACCAAAAAAAAAAAACAAAGTAGAGTGTTTTTTTTTTTTTTTTTAATAAAGTTCTCATATTTCTTATTATATAATTTTATTTTGATGAACAGGGAACAGCTGGAGTTGCAATTGCTGGTCTTCTTGGAGCTGTGAGAGCTCAAGGAAAGCCAATGATTGACTTCCCAAAACAAAAGATTGTTGTTGCTGGTGCCGGAAGGTTCTAGAATCTTCTTACACATAACTTTCTTTATTAATTAATTATTTAAAAAAAAACACTGACTATGTTCAACAACTTCAGTGCAGGGATTGGGTTTTAAAATGCTGCTAGGAAAACAATGGCTAGAATGTTGGGAAACAACGAGTTAGCATTTGAGAGTGCTGGAAGTCAGTTTGGGTGGTTGATGCTAACGTGAGCCACATATTTATTCATCAATAACTACTAATAATAATAACAATATCCTATTTGATGACCTTTTTTTGTTTTGTTGGATAAATTATAGGGTTTAATCACTGAGGAACGTGAAAATATCGATGATGATGCAAAACCATTTGCAAGAAAAACCAAAGAAATTGGGCGCCAGGGTTTGAGAAAGGAGCAAGTCTTGTAGAAGTGGTACATTTGAATTTCCTAATTGTACTGGCATTTTAACATGCATTGTAGTGATACTGATACTGACAAAAAGTTGCTGACTTTTTTTCCCCACCAAAAAGTGGGACATGGACTGGATTGATGTCAATAAGACAAAAGTTGCATTTTTTTTTTGTCTTATCCAAAAAGGTTAATCTCATAAAAGACCTTTATATTTTGTGTTTTTTTCGGATTAAACTTCAATTTTATT